AGCGGGTCTAGTGAAGACCCACTAAATTGAACTCAGAGAGCACCCCCATCGGAGCTGGTACTTCTGCTCCTCACGAGGGGTAAGGGAAGCCAATGGGAGCATTAGCTTCTGTCGACCTCCCGCTGTGTGGATGGCACAGAAATGGCACTTAAGATACGTCGACTCCAGCTATGTAATTAACATAGCGGGAGCTGCATGTCTTAAGTCAACCTTCCGCCATAGTGTAGACCAGGCTTAAGAACCTGGATTTAATTCACAGCCAGCTAGATGGGCTGCCAGGATCTATGAAAATGATGGCAGAGAGACTTACCAGCAGAGTCAGGGATGGATGGATGGATGGATGGATGGATGGATGGATGGAGTTTCTCCATAGAAACCACGGCTTAAAACCATGCAGCGCTTCCCTTTCAGGAAGATGAAGTAAAATGCAAAGACCAAGGATGAACTGGAAAATAAATCTTGTGTTTATGGAACTGAGGAGAATGATAGGTTAATGATTTTTACTTTTAGTAGGGAGCAGGCTTTTAAGGGAGGTTGTGTAATCCCCTCACTATTTTTTAAGAGTAGGTCGGACAAACACCGGTCAGGGATGGTCTAGGTTGACTTGGTCCTACCTCAGCACAAAGGGCTAGACTTGATGACCTCTCAAAATCCCTTCCAGCCCTACATTTCTATGATTTAAACAGTCTGGGGGATTCTCTTCTCCTATAATTTCAGCAATCCTCTCAGAAGGAAAAGGTCCAGAATTGGCACCAGCATCAAAACTCCTACTTCATGTTAAATCTAGAGATTACATTTTCTCGCGAAGGTCTTAAGCAAAGGTATTTTAATCTAGCCACAGCCTTCACCAAGGAGTCACAATGGAGACTCCCAGACTTGGTTGTCCATGTCATGATCTGGCCCTGAAAGGGGACAGTCTGTCCCAAAGCTGGGGGGTTGAGATCTTTTGCTTGCAAACATAGTCTGTTGATTAAATTTAAACTGAAGCCCTGTCAGATGGAAAATAGTTTTCGCAGGGATGAGCAGCAGCCAACACAGAAAGGAAAATCCTTGAGCTCGAGTCCAATCTCCTTTCTCTCAGGTGAATGGCACCAGCCCATGGAATAAAAAGGCAATTTTCAACATGAGCCAAGGTTTGAGAGTCTGACCCTTCACAGAAAGATGCAGCCGTGTGCAGCAGCACATCGACTCATCTGCATGGGCAAGAATCACACACAGGAGAAGCTTGGTCTTACGAATGACCAGCTGCACAAATTATTTTTCCTGATTGGGCAGGGTGGAGACAGGGAAAACTCACATCATGAAAGTGATTTTGGTGAAGAACAAGTTGATAGTCCTCTGCTCCTTGGAAACGGCTTCCCCATGGTTTGAAAGATGAGGAGAAAGACAAAGGGCCGTACCTTACTGTAACCGATCCATCCCATCTACTGTCATTTTGAGATGTTCAGTTTTACGACGTTCCCAATCTTACGCACGCCTTGCTTTCCAACTACATTTGTAAAACAGGGTTTCTATGGCAGGACCAACGGAATCCCAACACAGACGAGGAAGGAATTCCTCCCAAAGAAACCGAGTTCCAGAACCTTCCATTATAAAACAGGCAGATTTCATCATCATATGTGGTTGTTACTCCTCCAATTTTGGTGCCGTCAACAAGCGTGATCCCAGTTCAGCTGACACCAGGGACCCAAGTGACAAAGTGCAGAATGAAATTGCTTTACGGCCTGCAGAGAGAGGACTGGGTTTCAAAACTCCATGTGTGACCTTCTCTAGCAAGCCAAGACAGGGACTGACCCATGATTGAACATCGAAACGCTACTGCTAATAGCCTCACAACTTCCAAAACAAGCCACTGCCTCAAAAAAAGAGGGCAGAGAGAAAGGGAGAGCGCCGTCGGGTCAGATTCACATTACACTATGACTTGTTCCTACTACTCTGGGATATATTGCTTACCTTTACATTGCCGGAGTCATGAAAAGAGGCCTTGGTGTAAATCAGTAGGAAGCCTAGGGCCTGAATGGTCGGGAAAATTGTCAAACCCATCAGTCCTTCTCTTTTGTACTAGTTCTTCCAGAGGTAGGAAATAATTGTCTCAGAAGTCCTAAAGGGTTTACTATTACCCCTCAAACCTAGATAAAATCCAGGGCTCGGGGTAAATCCCGGACCCCCTCTATCCCTCCTATTCATGCTGCAGAAGACTGTTAAGTATTCTATAAGGCGTAATAAAACCTGTCAGGAATCTGACGGAGGCTTTCATTCATTATAGCCAGCCTTTAATGTTGCATTCTGGAGTTCCTTGAGGGGAAATGAACAGTTTAGAATAATTAATGATTTACCGATAGACCTAAACAACAAAGACACACCGTATCGAGTTCCAAAACAGAAGGCTTCTAAGTTCCCAGTTGTGGCTTATGATTTCTACTTCTTCCTCAAAGCATCTGTATTTTAATTCAGTTCACATTCTGCTACAGCTAGTAAAGTGGCCTGAAGCCGACAGCAAGAAGGGAGTGCTAAATCAAACGCTTAAATTACTTCTTCCTCAGTTCCATGGCAGATTTAAAGAGCATTCTGGCACTCCCACTTAGAAATAATATACTGTCGGATCTGACACAGCAGAGAGACTCTGCCTCAATCACACAATAGTCCAGGTGACCGTGCAATTACAATTAACCCCCTACTCACTGTGTCTAATGATAAACGATCGTTTGAACGATCAGCTCGGCGAAGCCGCCGGGGATCAGGAAATCGATTTCTGATTCTGACATATTTAAAAAGCACTTTCCAGTTCGGAAAAATCCAAAGGACGCTCAAGTGAGTTTTGACTCCCAAAGGAATTAATAATCCCTGGTAATAAGCCGGCGGACGCAGCTCCACACTGTCAGTGTCCTGGCGGCACAATGCACGCACAGCTTTTGGAATCATCTGCGAGGTGCCTTGTGAAAATCTCACACCACTCGAGTGCTGTAGTCACAAACATGTTGGTATGTTCCGAATAGCCATAAATCTCAGCAAGCCAGTACGGATCTCCTCTGATGGATTTATCCATGATAAAGCACAGGCTAAACATTCATATTACACCAACTTGTACAGGGGTTTCGTTAGTAGGTACAATGAAACAGTGATCAATAACTTCTAGGGTTGCCAGGTGTCCGGTATTGAACTGGACAGTCTGGTATTTGGGCCTTCCGTCCAGTAAAAAAATTCAGAAAATACTGGACACGTGAAATGGGTGTACCGGTAGTTCGGAATAGGAAGCCTAGTCCGAACTACCTAGTTCGAACCCCGTGTAGCCGCGCTGCACGGGATTCGAACCAGCGGGGTTTTAAAAATGGCGGCTCCCCGCTTATGCAAATGAAGCCCGGGAAATTCAAATCCCGGGCTTCATTTGCAAGTGCGGTATGCCTACATTACCCTCCTAGTTCGAACTAGCGGGGTAGTGTAGACATACCTCATGTGAGCTGGAAGTATCCCGTACTTCGTTTTTGATGTCAATGGGGTGTTCATTGTAAGGAAGGCTGGTTTTATAATGGCCCATCCAGTTCATGTCTTTGTTCAGGCCCAGGGAAACAGTGTCAAATTTGCATATGACCTTTACAGATAGTCCCCAACTTACGAATGGGTTACGTTCCGAACATCTGGTCGTAACTCAATTTGGTCGTAAGTCGGAAATACTCTTAAATGCGCTGCCAGCACTGTTTGAAAATCTTGACGTACATGGTTCTTAACTCGAAAATATTATAATGGGGTTAACGGGAGGTTGGTCTTAAGTATGGATGGTCATAAGTCAGTGTGTTCGTAAGTTGGGTAGTGGCTGTATAATGGAGAATGTCTTCACCTCCTTAGCCCAAATTATCACATAGGACAGAGTCCACAGACACCAGGGGCCACATCTTCAGGTAGCATAGCTCCAGCTATGCTGATTTACACCAGTGGGTATGCAACCTGTTGCCATCAATAGACTCACACTGATGTTTGTTTGCTCAGGATCGGGTAGATAATCCTTAGGACTGGTAGGAAAACTCTGTGGTACGTGTTTGCTGAGTGCGCGGATTTATTTTACCGTCTAAATCATCCTAAACACAATTACAATTAGGATCTATTCCCCCAAACAAGTATCCCATATTCAGAATATTTTGTATTATCACGCATGAGTACTTATATATATTCCCAACACCTGTTGCACCAGGCTTTAAGAAAATAAAATTAAATCAAACAAATGCAAAGCCTACATGCAAGCAATTTATTCCAGATGATTGATTATAGGCATGTTGCTCGTGAATTCTAATCATGACATTTCCTCAACTCTTTCCTAACTCATTTCAACTATACATAGAGGGGAAAAAAAGGAATGGCTCTCACATTCCTGTAGGTTTATCACTTCCAGACTAAGCAAATTCATTTCTAGGACGGGGTTCAACTGACAGCTCTTAGAAACCAAAATATGGCACCACGGTTTATGAAACCCATATGTGTCTCACTCTTGTGTCTGTGTGTCATTCTAAGGACAGCCAAAGCTACTTCTCAATTCTTAAGCATGTCAAGTAAATCGATGACTAGATTACAATCTGTCAGTTCTGTTCAATGAGGCTGTTGCTTAAAAGGTTATGAATTATGTTGTTTTAGCCTTTAACTTCTCAAATCTTCTTACAGGGATCTAGTACGGTCTGTGTGTCGTCAGATTATCTCCAACTGGCTCGTCTCCAAACCCCAAAATGTTATAATGACTCCTCCCTATGTGTCACGGTTCCCTCATGAACTCTTCCTTCCTGATCCTCATAAATCTCTCTCCTGCTTCTAATCCTCAACCCCACAGGCATTTTAACAGCTAACGAGATAGTTACAGACTTACCTGCTGTAATTTATAACATTACCCCAGATTAAGTATTGCTTAGTTTTGTGCTTCACTCACCTAAAATTGCCCGCGTGAAATGGAAATGGTGCCTACAAATAGGTTGCGACTGTCTAGTTCTTTTTACCTGAATTTTTATCTTTGCCCGCAGTGTACTTTTCTTTATGCATGCCGGGAGTTTGGCGAGAAGGAGGACTAGAAAGATCAGACTCCGCAGGGAAGCACTGATCTGACTGAGAAGATTAGCACCCTGTCTGAGGGTGAGCTGTGAACCTAATTCCATGCCTATGTCTCTTAAAAATACAGGTTGGTATGCAAAACATTGTCAGCTGTGTGAATGAAGTGATCTCTAGCCCCATATGTGCCTGCTTTTCCTCACAGGACATATGCTCACAGAATAAATTAATTTATATGAAACAGAAATCATTTTACTCACATCCCTCGATTAATATCATCACAAGGGCATAGCTGGAAGCCACCGAGAACTTTCAAACCTTCACCATGGAAGAAAACTATAATTTTGCCTTCTTTTAAGCTCTCTTTGAGCTTTAATGGTTTCCCTTTTCATACAATATGAATGAAGTCGCTGTTGCTGGCTCTGGCAATCTTATCAATTTAGTGGTGATTCAGTGTTTTTCTTAAAGTCCCAACTCCTGGCGTCATATGATTACATGAAATACTCAACTTGTGTTTTTTTCCCTTAAAAATAACATTTCTAGCCTTTGCGAGTATGGAAAAACTCTTAGTTCCTGAATAGAACTCAGAGGGAGCTGTGGATTGGTTATTTCCCTTTCACGAGATCTGAAATAAGTCGTTTAAAATTTTCAGTTAAAATTACAAATGTTATTAAAATCATTAGTGGAAAGTGTCAGTAATGTGTTCTTTAAAAAGGAACTTTTCGAATCAAACTATATTTTTAATGAGAATCTCATTAAAAACTATATTTTAATTAAAAAACCCTATATTTTAATGAGATACTTTCAACCCAGTGATAGTACTCTAAGGGTATGTCTACACTGTAGAGGTTTTCCAGAAAAAGACTGATTTTTCTGGAAAAACTACACTTACATCCATATTGCAATTGTGTTCTTTCAACAGAAAGTCAAATGAATGCAGGGTTTTTTCCGACAGCGGTAAACCTCTACGAGGAAGAAGCCTTTTTCCGAAAGAGGTCTTTCGGAAAAAGGCGTGTGTGGACAGGGAAGAGGTTTTTTGGGTTTTTTTTGTTTTTCAAAAGAAGAGGCTTCCAGGAAAAAGCACAGGTGCCTTGTTGGCCACTCCATCCATAGTAATCACAACTTAAATGAGAGATAGCATCCACATTGATTGGACGCTATCTTTCGAAAAAGCAGATCGCTTTTGCTGTGTGGACGCTCTCCTTCAAAAGAAGTTTTTCTGGAAGCATCTTCCGAAAGAAGTCTGCAGTCTAAATGTAGGCTAACTAGCATGTTTTCTGTTTGACTCTATGTGTAGGGTTGTAAATCAACAACGGTGTCCTAAAGCACTCAGCAATGAAACATTTTACAAAGGAATATGATTCCAGAAAAAAATGCATGTGGGAATCAGCTAAAAGAACCCAGCCTTGCAAACAAAGATTTTAAAATGTTTACAGAGATCCAAAATTATGTACCACACTGAGTTTGTGTGTCAACAGAGCATTTGATTAACTGAAACGAGTATGAAAAATTGATCTCTGTAAACTACATGAGTATCTCTTTTTTAACCCAATAGAAACCAAATTAATTTTGCTGTTCATTTGTTTTGCTGCTTTGCAATACATCCATGTATCAGCCCCTGCTGTTAGGCAGTATCTGGATTTAATCTCGTCTGGAATTTAGATTCCCACGCGGTCGTCATGCTTAAAAACTTGTCAGTTGCCTGAGAAAACTAAGTAGCATTGCTTTGATGTTTGAAGGGCACCATAGAAATTTCCTATATTGAGTACAGAGGAGTCTGCTACTTCTGAGGTCCCACTAAACGGTTATCAAAGGCGAAACTGACAAGTTGGATTTTTTTTTGTTTATTTTGCTTTGTGGTTTTTTTTTTCCTTCTTCGAATGAAACCACTGCATGTTGCATCACTACCCTGTGATGTTACTTTGATTTTTCATGGTCCACTTACAAATACGTTCAGTGAGGGGAAAAAATCCTATACTCATGCGTAGTAATCCATGGTACAGACTCTTTGGAAGGTTTTCCTGGTCTTATGCTAGCCACTGGCAAGGTTCAAAAGAGCTTGTGTTAAGGTTTGGCCTCAACCAGCTGGATAACATCAGTCTCCACTGACATCTTCCCATTGACACAGTGCCTCTTGTCTTTCTTGGATTAGCAGTAAAATAGGTAAGCAGGCCAGCATTAAAATGATCAGAGTTCTTAACAAGCTCGGCAGTTTGCACCACTCACCCATTCCCTTTCTGTGGGCTGAGAAAAATGGTGACGGTACGCCATTCTGGGCAGTACCATCACAAAAAAAGCACTGCTCACAGGTAGGAAGTTTTTCCTAATGTCCAACCTAAACCTTTCTTGCTGCAATTCAAGCCCATTGCTTCTTGTCCTATCCTCAGAGGCCAAGGAGAACAATTTTGCTCCCTTCTCACTGTAACCCCCTTTTAGGTACATCTTCAGGTCTTGTCTTTGCGAGATATGAAGGATTTTGAAGAACCTTGTAATGTTCTAGAGTTCTCTTTGTACAGACCAACAGGACCCTAGCATAGGAAGCTGTGATTCTCAGTGTTCAAGAAAGGGGAATAAAGGACCACAGTAGGGATGTGAGAATGAACCAGCTGATTAGGTTTGCCCCTGAAAAAGACAAAAGGACTTTATTGATTCAATGGGACAACTCTACACTGATTTCCGGGGGGTAATACTTCAACATGCCAGCAAGCACACTAGGCAACTATGTTGTGGATTGTGAATAATAAATTCCACCTTCATCTTGAGAGGGATGAAGATCTTAATTTCTTTAAAGAACAAACACTTTGCAAGCCTAATCAACTAAAAAGGCACCCTTTTGGTACCAGCACAGAAAGCGTTAAAGTGACATTTCCCACGCATCCTGCCGTTTAGAAATTACGTATTTATAGCAGTCCATTAAGGCCAATTTAGAAAAGGTTGATTAGATGAAATTACATTCATTCAAGTAGGCCTAAACAATGTTCTTATTTCATCAAATCAGCAATCAACACCATAAATATATCTAGTTGTGGCCTTCTCCAGTGACTTCTACCCTCGTTGGTGGCATTTGTGTGGGGTTTCTTTTTTCAACAGCAAGTCATGCATTCGTATTGCCCTCCCTGGTCATTTTATTCCTTCTAGATTGTGTGTTGCGACACAAAGGATGAAAACATTTCTTTACTTATGCATACAAAGTTTGAACTCAAAGAGATCGTCAATGAGACCGTGGAGGAAAATTATATTGATTAGTCTGCCCACTGTGTGAGGTAACAAGATAGACAACAGAAAGGGCCTGTTGATGAAAATGATTGTTTCATTTTGCATGTGCCTGCAGAGAAAGTGCTATGGGTCTATGTGGGCTGAGAGATTTTTACATTTCCAGGCCTACGTCCTGTGTATTGTTCTTGATAACTGTTGCTTTAAGACATGCTAATTTCAAAGTAAGGCAAAAACTCAGACAGTGAAACACTTATGAAAATGTCTGGACTGTTAAAAACGTTAGCAGAGCAGTGGCATATTTTTCAGATTTGGTCACAAAAATATAGTAAAATACAAAGGAAACATTCAGGCCTTACACAGTGGGCCTCAGACTCCCGGCCTGTGGTCCAGCCCTGGCTGGAGAAGTTGGGGTTGGCGGTTGTCCATTCCTGTGCCTCAAGCCCCACCCCTTCCTGTCTCTGCCCCGTCCTCGCCCTCCATGACACCCAAAGACACAGTTCAGGGATTACCAGTAGAGTTGCCAGGTGTCCAATATTGAACCGGGCAGTCCGGTATTTTTGCCTCCTGCCAGGTAAAAAAAATTAGAAAATACTGGATACCTAAAATGTCTGGTATTTTCTGATTTTTTTTCCCTGCCAGGAGGTGAAAATACTGGACACCTGGCAACTCTACGACACACTCAGCAACCAGGCCAGAAATCCAGAGGAAATAAAAAGAGCTGTGATAGGAACCGCCAGAAATGAAACCTCTGCTCGTTCAAGCTCACGTCAGTACTGTAGTTGCAATGAGAGCAACTTTAATCAAGCAAAACAGTTGGTTAGGAAGATAGACATGAAGTATTTCGTTAAAAGCCTGGAAACACTCCCTGTTAAGAATGGGGAAAAGACAGTAGTATTCAGCTCCCATCAGCAGAGAGAAATATACTTCAAATATCTGCAAACTTCCCCATCACAAGAGGAGGCAGACGAGGAAGGATACGGCCATAGGGAATTTCTGTACTGCATTCGGAGATCGGATATAACCACAGAAGGGTTAAAGAATGATCAATTACTTCCTATTGCTTTCATTCATGGAAAAGGACCATCAATGAAAAAAATCAATCATTTCATTAGTAATTATGTTTTCAGTCCTAACCTCATTAAATGGGGCGTCCGGCTGGACTAATGCATCAGGGTCTATTGGTATTAGATGATTATCTATAGCTGAAATGTGTGGGCTCCCAGGAGCTATATAGACCTCCAAGTTTCACATGATTTCTTCCCCCTCCCTCCACCCCCGCATGTCAAATGGGATGGGGACGGACTCTTTAAATAGATTTTTCTTTCTGACTGTATGGTACTGTAAGTTCAGCCTCTCTAGTCCGGCACTCTCTGGACCGGCAACATCCAGGGTCCAGCATGATTGTAGTTAGCCGGATGTCCGCTTAGCATGCGTACGGCCAAGTTTCCCACGGTCCCATTAAGTTTGTTTACAGCTTTCAGTCCTGGCTCTCAGGGTTCTGTGCTGTTCTTTAGCTCTAATGTACCCCTTACTGTCTTCCTACAGCATAGTAAGTAGTGGAAGGGTCAGCAATGCTGCTACACAACATTGACCTCCCATGGTCCGGAAAATTCTCTTGTTCAGAACCAGTCAGGTCCCAAGGGTTCCGGATGAGAGAGGTTCAACCCATAATAGGTGTTGCTCTCTTCATTATCTTGGGTTTTTTTCTCCACTTTCTGCCCTCCTCCCATTCCACTTATGCTGGGAATTTCCTTCCCACTGGGTAGAATATCTACCAACAACCAACACCCAACCTCTGTATTGTACAATTTGTGCTGCTTAACTATGCAAGGACTGTACACTGCTCAGGAAAATTTTCCATTTCTCATTGATTGACTCGGCAACTTTATATTTTAGCCTATTACTTTTCTAACGACGGCTTAGATAATTCAGCGTGTTTCCTGGAAGGTAAAGGGTTTTATTGAAGTGATCACAAAATATACCCAATGCTTAAAAGACAATGCCGTCATCGCCATGTTGGAGGAGACACGTCTGAAAGAACTGGCAGCTTGTCCAGTATAGAGATTGGGTAGGACTTCCAGTTTCTAGGTTTTTTGATTCTCAAGAGAGAAATATTGCTATAGTAATACCTGAAAACTTGATTTTTTTCCTTTATGGAGTAGACTTTGGAAATGATGGCAGATGTCAGACTCATAGACCTAGAAGGGATCTCGAGAGGTCATTAAGTCCAGTCCCCTGCCCTCACAGCAGGACCAAGCACCACCTAGATCAGGCCTGGGCAAACTACTGCCCGTGGGCCGGGTCTGGCCCATCAAGCCCCCAGATCCAGCGTGGAGACAGGCTCACCTGCTTGCCCTGCAGCCCCACACGCTGGGCAGAAAATCAGCTGT